ATGGATGCTGCCCTGGTGGGGCTCCCCTAGAGCAGTGTAGATGATCCTGAAGACCGGCTGGATCCTGCGGCCTCCTCTCCAGAGCACTGTCTCCCTGCCTTGCTGCACTTCCCCCAGGGCGTTGGTTCTCTCTGGCCAAGATAGCCCTGTGCCCGGTTCCTCCAGGCCTTGTGCTGTTTCAGTGCCAGTGGACATCCTTAGCTCAGAGCTCCCCTCACCATCTTTATGCTCTGACTCACTAGTATCCCAACTGGATTCTGGGTCTGGCTATAGTAGCTTCCCATTCCTTTCTCTGGCACTGTCCATTGGCCTGGGATATGGTAGTCACTGAGCTAGGTGGAGCTTGTTTTTGGTTGTGGGAATTATTTCTAGTTAGTGGCAAGTGGGTGCCTTACCCTGGCCCTGGCTACCCTGCCCTTCTGTACCACTAATGTCCCCTACTATTTGTCTGGGCTGTCCCGTCATTTTCCCAAGCCAAGGTATGTCTGTTGCCTGCTGGAGGAAGGAATTCCTGGAGCTGTTGAGCCTATATTCCCCTGGGGTTGGGGTGGCTCATAGCCCCAGCCCCTCTCTTGTTTCCCAACTCCTGTGCTGCAAGATGGGGTTTCTGCTCATCAGGTTCATTTTCAGTCCTGAACCCCGATTCCTCCATAGGCCCCTCTTGCCCACCACTGCGTCTCCATAGCAGTCGCTTCCTTTTCACTGATGTCACTTCCTTTCCTGTGGTCGGGGTGCTGATCTCCCTAAAAACCCCTGCCTGGGTGGTAACCTGATGTGCTGCTGCCCCACAGGCCCTGTTTTGTTTTTCTTCCTGATTCTGCTGCTCCTTCATCATTACCATGGTAGTTTCCCACTCTTCCTCATGTCGAGTTTCATTAACTCCAGAAAAGTGGGTGGGCATCCTTGCTGATCTAACAGGGACAGCTTGCCCCGAAAACCAGTGGTCAGGGAGACGTGAGATAGGACACACTTGAGGTGAATGGAGTCTGCACTGTGTGCTGACAAGGGGATCTGCTGCACTGCTTTCTGGAGCAGGGGCTCTAAGCGCAGCAAGTAATCAGATAGCTTCTCTGCAGGTTTCTGAAAAGACTGAAGGAACCTGAACTGTAAGATCTTATAATCCTCTTTATTCCCAAAGATCTGCTTTAGGGCTTTCACGCACTGCTCCATAGTTAGGGAGTCATTGCTAACCCACAGTTCCTGCATGATTGACAGGGCAGATCCACGCAGGCTCTCTAGAAGGCGCCGCTTCTTCTCCTCCTCAGACACCTGCCATAACTGCATCATTTCAGTGACCTCCTCTAACCAGGTTTCAAAGGTCTCTTCTCCTGGGCCTGGAAAGGGACTGCCAGAAAATGTTTTCAGTTTTTGGTAACACATGTTATTGCACAGAGACTTCAAGCCTCCTGGTTTGTCTTGGTCTGAATTTCTTAGCTCCATGCTCACTGAAGGGGCAGTGCTAAACCCCAGGGCTTTGGCCGCATCTACCATTCTCCGTCCTTCATCCCTGAGAAAGTATATCAGCTTATTGATAAACTTGTCATCTGGGCTATGGGGTTTGACTACCACTTCCCAAGCTCCCCCTGCAGCCGGTATATGAGTGGGCATCACAGTATAATTGACAAGTTCAATTAAGACTGCCTTAGCTTTATCTTCCCTCCTGAACATTCTGCCTATCACCCTGTAAGCACACAAAGGAGGTAAGCTTTCTTTCAGAGCATCCTTTCTCTCAGACTCACTGCACTGCACAGGGATGCCCACAATGAGCACAGCCTTCTTGGGGTCCAGGTCCATCCCCTTACACCAGTCATCTAATAGAGCCACAGCCATTGCTACCACCCTAATACTAGGATACTTATTAGCTCAAAATTTTCCTAGGACTCAAAGGATTGTAAGCCAAGGCCATGTAGAAAGGCAGCAATGTCCTGGGTTTCCCACAGCCTGAAATGCAAATGAAGAGTTTAGTTAATACTTTCTGCCACCCTTTCTTCTCCCAGAGATTCAATCTTGCTTCCCAGGCTCTTGCAATCATTTTGTTGAGGGTCTTCCCACACAAAGCCCCCCTGAAACTCACTGGACCCTGCAGATCTCCTACTGCAGCCACCTCCCTGGAAGTCTGGGGACTCTATTGAGTATTCTGCAAGTACCTGTAGAAAAAAATGCCAATGTCAGGAGGCAAAGAACAATACCTAGGAACATTGGAAAAGACCTACTGGAGGAAAGGGCAGGAATGAGAACACTGTGATACTAACTAGGAACTATGTTGGATTCAGGCCACTCACTCCTTAATGGGTCCAAGACTGGCAGCACATAGGAGACTCTCCTCTTCCTGAAGAAATGCTCAGCAGAAGAGAAAGATGACTGGGGCTCAGCAGATAAGATCAGAGTGGTGGGTGCAAAGAATGTGTGACAAGCTAAAGTACTGCCATGGACACAAAAACAGTGTGGATCTGGGTTTCTACCATAGGTTGCCATACAGTGCAATGTGGTAAGGTTAAAGCCCTTGAGGAACAATAGGTGATGTCATGGTCCTCCAACCAATAAAACATCTTAGCAACAAGATGATGGTAATGTCAGGTGCAGGGGAGGTAAGCAGAGACTAAGGAGTGGGCACTGATTTAAAAAAAAAAACAACCACATGGTTTCAAATTGTATGGAATCTGCAATCAGAGACAGAAAAAGCCTCTAGAAAGTAAACACACACTGCCACCCTAAGTATGGTCCTTCCCTGCAATCTGTGACCCTTGGCAGGAAGCCCCTTCACCTGCTTTTCTCTAAAGTTAGAGGCTACTCCAGAAATAGCTGCTCATGCTGCTGTTGGCTGTGTAGTGCCTCACTGAAGTGTGCATACAGCAGCGTTGCTGGCAAGGGCACTTGATACTGGCAGTCTTCTGGCTTCTATCCAGACAGCTGGTGCAGAGATGTTGCTTCCTGCTCACTCATCTGTTCAAGGCAAGCAGGGGAACATTTAATATGGTCTGTCTTGAATGTCTATACCCATGTAAGATGTGCTAATCTGAGTGTACAGAAGAATCTAACAACCTTGTCAGCATGATGGTGCAGACCTGTGAACCCTGACCTCAAAGGCAGCTAATTGAGGCTAATAATCTGTCCGTTTGAAGCTTGCCAACACAACATTGAGGGGATTTGAGCAACTGATTCACTAAGGGGTGCTGGTCAGACAGAATGAATTCTAAAATAAAATTGCTTCCCTACCTCCACTGAACCCACCCAACACAAAATGTCACTTGTATTTCAAGAACCCACCCCCATCCAGCTTCATCCTGGTTCCAGCCCCATGCCAGCTGTCCCAAGCACTGCCCCTTCCCTGTTCTTGTGCCATCTCAGACCAGCAGCTTTTCCAGTTCCAGTTCTGGACCAGGCCCTGACCCATCCAGGTTCTAGTACGTTCTTGATGGTTGCAAGCACCGCCCCCCCCCCATTTCCGCTGTGTTCCGAAATCTCCCAGCCATCTCCATTCCAGCTCCGAACTACACTCTGACCTATTGGAGTCCAGCACCTTCTCGACTGTCCCAAGCATGACGCCCTTCCCAGTTCCTGAGTGTTACCAGACCCCACAGCCATCTCTGTTCCTGTTCTGAACCAGGCCCACTCCCGTCCAATATACATTTTAAGTGTGTCTCCAGGTTGCCAGCCATCCAGGTCCCACCATCACATCCTAGTAACAACACAGTCACTCGTGTTGCCAAATACTATCCTCACTTATGCCTACACTCCCCTATCTCGACCTTATCTAAAACCCAAAGAAGGCCCAGTGCACTGACTTCACAAGAGGCAGGAAGATCACGTGGACCCAGAAATTTGAGACATCCTGTGCAACAATAGAAACGCTGTCTCACAAAGAGAAAACAAACAATCCGTTATGCTTCCCACCCCTTCACAAATGTCCTCCACTCCGCATATCCCTTATCTCACATTCCCAAAAAGGGTGATACTGGAAGTAAGCAGAAGGCCATAAAAGGAAAGGACATAAATGGAATGCGTGAGGTCTAGAAACAGCAGAAACCTTAAAGGTGCCAGGAACAGGGCAGCACCATACCCGCTGAAGAGGCCTCCAAACCAGAACTGCAGGAGTTGCAACAACCATACATGCTGCAGGGCAAAACGGGGTCCAAGACCACGGCGGGAAGATCTTATATATGCCACCCCCGCCCACACCCCCTGTGGAGTTGCACACGACCCTTTTCGGGCTGTGCACTGGTATCATGTCCCCTCCCCCCCAGCCCTAATAGGAGGATATTTTTGCCTCATCCAATCCTGATAGCTCCACAGGGAGCAAGTGGGAGGGACACAGAATTTGAACAAAGTGGCAGGAGGTGTGGATCAAAGCTGTGACACCAAGATGGCACATGTTATACCAGGCCCAACAGGCATTGGTTTATCTGTTTCGCGTGTCTGTGCCTCATTGGCTACTAGTTGTGACATGATACTTATTAGTTACTGTCTTTTCCATATTCAAATAGGAAAGGTTGATATAACTACCTAATCCTACAGGCTGAATGCAAAGTATGTGTCCGATTGCAAAATATAGGGCTTCCCACAAAATACAAGCCTATCAGGTACTTAAAAACTAAAAGTTATATATTCCTGTTTATTTTTTATTCAGCTGTGATGTAGATTTCGAAGGCCAGTATTACAGAAGCCTTTTGCATTTCTCCGGTGCACGAAACTTTGTCAGGTTCACCAAGACATATGAAGTATGAAAGATTTCATTTTGGAGGCAAGTACCTGCAATCTCAGCTTCACTCACTAGGAGGTAGAAGCAGGAGGAACATGAGTTTCAGCCTGGGATACACAGTGAAAACCTTTTAACCCTTCCTTCCTTCCTTCCTTCCATCCTTCCTTCCTTCCTTCCTTCCATCCTTCCTTCCTTCCTTCCATCCTTCCTTCCTTCCTTCCAACCATCCTTCCTTCCTTCCTTCCATCCTTCCTTCTTCCTTCCATCCATCCTTCCTTCCTTCCTTCCATCTTCCTTCCTTCCATCTTCCTTCCTTCCTTCCATCTTCTTCTTTCCTTCCTTCCTTCCTTCCTTCCTTCCATCCTTCCTTCCATCCTTCCTTCCTTCCTTCCTTCCATCCTTCCTTCTTCCTTCCTTCCATCCATCCTTCCTTCCATCCTTCCTTCCTTCCTTCCTTCCTTCCATCCTTCCTTCTTCCTTCCTTCCATCCTTCCTTCTTCCTTCCTTCCATCTTCCTTCCTTCCTTCCTTCCTTCCTTCCTTCCTTCCTTCCTTTCCTCAACTTTCTATTCACTTCAGTCTTTAGATTTCCTGGGCACAAATTATCCACCTAGTAATGTGAATACTTTCCAAGCTTTCCTAAGGAAGGTTTCTCCCACAGTGTAAAAAGAGTCGAATGTTTGCCCAGAAGCACCAAATTGCTTCTCCAAAGAAGGCCATGTAGGACACAGGAAACATATAACTAGGTGCATATTTCAGGCCTTTGGTAGAATAATAGATTTGTTTTGTTTTATTTGAGTTTTTTTTTTAAGAATGGGCTGGTTCATGCCTGTTATTCCAGCATCTGGGAAATGGAAACAGGAGGAGGATGCCATTTCAAGTCAAGCCAGGCTATATACTGTATTCAAGGCCAGCCCAAGGTCTACATTTGTAGGCCAGCCTGGCTTACAGTTTGAAACCTTGTCTCAAAAACCCTGAAATAAAAATACACAAACAGAGTAGGCATCTCAGCAATGTTTCAGTAAAAAAGGTCGCTGCTCAAGGTATTTGCAACCATGTCAATCTCGGTTCATTTTACCCAGGAGGTGTCAGAGCACCAGCACATTATGTGTCCCAGAATCCACCATTTAACCAATGTCACATGAAGAGCTCACACTCTGAGTGCTCCACTGGTGACAGTTCTATTCTTCCCCTTCTCATTTGTAGACAAATAAATAGCTTCATCTCCAATTATTTCGTAAACAACAATAAAACGTTATGAAGGAGTGGCACCAATGTTGAATTTTTTTCTTTTTTAGTTTTCTTTAAACATTCTTTCTTTTTTATTATTTTTTATTTTATTCTTTTATTAGTTCAAATTAGGAACAAGCTTGCTTCACATGCCAATCCCTTCTCCCTCTCCCCAACATCCCAGCTGCCCCTACCCATCTGCTTTCCACTCCCCAGGCAGGGTAAGGCCCTCAAAAGGGGCTCCCCATAGTCTACCCCAATGTTGAATTTACCTAAGCCATTGATCTTGGAAACACTGAAGGTTTAACAAACCCAGTTCTGTGTGTTCCAAAAAATGGCTCCTCACAAAGAAATTTCCTTCCCCATGCAACTTAGAGTGAAGGGATGATTTCCTTGGTTACATATGAGAAAGCCAGACCCAAAGCCTTTTAAATTCCTGTGTGTGTGTTTGTGTGTGTGTGTGCGTGTGTGTGTGTGTGTGTGTGTGTGTGTGTGTGTGTGTGTGTGCCTCATAAATGATTAGCTGAACTACTCATTCCCTCTTATCAACACAAACATATTGTTTGCCTGCCAGTTTGAGGTAGCTTCTTTTCTTTTTCCATACTCTAGAAGTTTGCCCTGCTCGCTCAAAAGCCAGCAGATTGCCTGAATGGTCCCTTTTTAGAATAGGCAGGCCCCAGGTAAAACTTTCCATCATGTATCTACTCATCAAGAATTCTCTCTATGCTTGTTTGTTCTTTTCTTTAAAAGAAAGCCTTATTACTATGACAACAACATATCATCAGGGTAAAACTAAATGAAAGAAAAACAACAACAGAAAACAAAACCAACCCCACCTTTTTTGGGGGGCTAACCTTTGGAACATTTGAAGATCCCATGACTGAAGGTTTTTTCCTATTACT